GCAATTCTTACTAACATCTCAAGTGAGCTATCTGGGGTGAAAGCCATTCTTTGTAGCTTTTTCTCTCCAGCTTCCCATTGCTTTGGGACCCCACAACCTGTTCATAATTGCCTTTAGCTCAAAAATAATGTTTTTGTCAAAATGACATACTTTGAGCTGGGCGCCACAGCTATTATCCCAACTACTGGGGTGGCTGAGGCAAGAGGATCATAAGTGTGAGGCCAGCTGGACAACTTCGTGATACCCAGTCTCAAAGTGAAACCCAGTTTTAACAAGTGCTGATGTGTAGCGCGGTGGTAAAGCACTTGTCCAGGCCTAACCTGTGTGAACTCCTGGGCTCACCCCCCAGTGGCACCCACAGAGAAGCTTATTTTGGAACGACATATTTTGAGGTGTTCCACATACTATTTAAGGACGTGACACATTGCTAAATTACATTTATCTTTTTATTAAATATAAAAAACTTTTTTTTGGTGGTGGGGATCAAGCCTAGGGCTGAGTACTTGTTAGGCAAGCACTGTGGCACTGAGTACAGCCCTGGCCCCGAATTATGTTTGTCTGTTTATAGTGAAGTTCTGTGTTTATTAAAGGTAGGAAAAGAAGTGTACTCTACAGAGCAGATGTGGGCCGACGCACAGGAAAAAGCGCGCTCTGCAGTGCGGGAGCAGCCTGCTTAGGAACGCGAGAACACAGTGGTCCCAAATTGTGTTTGTAAATAGGCTAGTTGCTTATATTCAGCGTCTCTAGGGCTGAGTGCTCCTTTATTATGGGTTTAAACTAAAACAAAACGCAGTGAGGTGCCACTGTGAAAAGGCTTGTTACTACATTATTATTTTTACTACTGTGTTAACTGGGTATCCTATGAGTACACTTACAGAACGAGGAGCTAGCTCGGACAGTGGGTTTTGTCCACCCCTGCTAGTAACATGCTGTGTAAGAAGACAGCAGGAACTGCCCGCGGAAGCAGAAGTGCGAGCTCATGTGTTAGGACGAAGGGCGGCCGTCCTCCCCCGCTCCAGATGTCTCTGTGCTGCTTGTCCAGTAACATGCAGAGAGTGCAGCCCGAGTATCGGTCAGCGGGTAGAGCTCAGGCCGGCTTTTCTAGCTGAAAGTCTTCTCGAATGCCTTAGACAAGTGTTCATGACACATGTGCAGTGTTTGTGACGCTTGAGGCAGCCCCACGCAGAGGCGAAATATCCTCTTAACTCCTGTGGGTAAAACATCACTTCCTTCCTCTAAATAGAAAAGCTCAACTCTAGAGCTGGACTATGAAGTAAGCCTTACTGACGAGTTATTTTACCTCTGATGTTCCTATAGCACTTGTGAAAATCCTTTCAACCAGAATAAATACTTTAAAAAATTAAGTGACATGTGTTTTAGAGTTATGAGAATTTCAGGCTTCATAATAATTGAAATAAGCCTTGAAATGAATGTGTGTTCTATTCTCCTGGCCTTTTTTTTTTTTTCCTTTTTTTTTTGTCTTTTTGAGACAGGGTATTGCTATGCAGTTCAGGCTGTCCTTGAGCTCACTTTGTAGCCCAGGCTAGTCTCAAACTCGCAAGGATCCTCCTGCCTCAGCCTCCCGATGCTGGGATTACAGGCATGCGCCACCACGCCCAGCCTGGCCTTTTTTTTTAAATTGGTTTTTGCTCTTTTCTGCCTTCCATTTATAATTTCTATGCCTTTTTGTGCATGTTTCATTGTTGTGGGATAATGTTCATTGTGATATGAGAAATGTCATTTGTTCATAGAACCAACTCTAGATTGATTAAAATTATTAAAACAGAGGCCAAAGGGTAGATGTCCGAGAAATGTGTGTTCTTATTTATAGAGTCTAATATGGGCTTTAGCATTGGGCATTAAATACAGTTTAGGTTGAGTTTATTTGTTTTTGAGACAAGGTCTCACTATATCGTTCAGGCTGTCCTTGAACTCATTGTGATCCTCCTGCCTCAGCTTCCTGAATGCTGGGGTGACAGGCCTGCGCCACCACGCCCAGCTGATTTGGGTTAAGATTGTAGTTTCATTTTGGTTGGGTGCTTA